GATCCAAATTTACGTCCTAGCATAGCTGAGATTCGTCATAAATTAAATAATATAAAAATGAATCCAATTTATTATGACGAAAATATAGCTCTGAGTAAACAAGAACGAGATATTGTTTCAAATGTGCAAGATATTTCGAATGAACAATATATGATTTCAAGTGGAAAAGATATGATTTTGAGTAGTGTTGGTAACAGCAATTATACTGGAACTGGTACCTCAGCAGAATCTACTGTGAGTTCTTTAATGAAACATAGTCCACGTCAAATTTTATCAATGTCGCGGCAGTCGACTCAGCTACTAGAAAATTCGATACAACAACCTAATGAAGATGATAATGAATTCACTAGTCTTAAACGAAGTGATAACCAGGTAGTAATTGACAGAAACCCTATTTACCCGAAAATGTTGAACCAAATAATAAAGAAGTTAACAAAGTTCAAAGTATAACCTCGCAATCATAGCAGCAGAATACTGGTGGACCTGCTCGAACAGTTTTAAAGCGCAGAGGCGTAAAGGCTGAAGAATGGATTGAGAGACCAACTGCAGAAGATATTTTTGAAGATATAGAGCAATATTTCCCAAATCATGATGTTGATATGCCTATTGTTGATGCTTTAAAAGAAGGGAAACTTAGTAGAAGATCCATGACTAAACCAAACATGGCGTCGAAACGAAACCTACCCGAAACTAGTTTCGGAAGGGTTCTAATCAGAAACTAGTTTCGGATTTTTTAAAAAAAATCGAAACTCCGAAACCCGAAACCCCGAAACTATAATCCGAAACCCAAACTTATAATCCGAAACTCAAAAATATAATATTTAAGCCAAACATGGCGTTGAAACGAAACCTACCCGAAACTAGTTTTGGGAAAGCTCTAATCCGAAACTAGTTTTGGAATTTTTAAAAAAAATCGAAACTCCGAAACCCCAGACCCTGAAACTATAATTCGAAACCCAAAGCTATAATCTGAAATCCAAAGCTATAATCCGAAACTTAAAATATAATATACAATCTTTAAAATTTATTATAAACTTATATTTATTTTAATAATATCTTTAATAAACAATACATTTATAGAAATTAATATAAAATATAAAATATAGTATATATAATATAATATAATAGAAATTGTTACAAAATATAAAATATATTATGATATATATAATATAATATAAATAAAAAATTTTAAATTATATGTAAGATAAAAAAACTTTAATATTTAAGGAAAAAATCTCTATATATCATGTAACCTTAAATACAAATAAAAATATAATTATTTAAATTTAATAATAATAAATTTCATCAATATCATCAAAATGTTTTTGTGCTATTTGGTTAGGATCATAATCATCTTCATCTTCTAAATTTTGAATAAAAGTATTTAGTTCTTCATCATCATTTAAGTCTTCTGTTATTTGATTATCATCTGTGTTTTCAAAATTATTATTTTCTAAATCAATTATTTCTAATAAATTTAGATTTTCCCACACAGTTCCTTCATCATCATCTAAGTCATACTCATCTAAATTAATATTTTCTACTTCATTTTGGTCTTCTTCTTCCTCTTCTTCAATTTGTGCATTATATAATTCTTGATAAATTTCATCTACTGCATGTTCTTTGCTATATAAATTCAATTCAGATTCTTTGTTATTAATATAATAAGAATGAATTTTAACCAAATATTCTAAATTTTCAACTGATAAATTTGTTCTTCTTTTTCCTGTCATCTATCCACAAATAGACCAAATTCTTTCATAACTTGTTGTATGTAGAGTAATTGAAAAAAGTTTAATTCCAAATAATTGTAAATATGGTGGTGATATTGTACATGTTTTTCACCAACTTAAGGTTGTATCAATATTTAATGAGAATGGTGCATTAAATAGATCTCTTTACAAATAAAATTCTCTAAATTAAGAAATAATCATATCTCCTGATTGTTTTTTAGAATATTTATATTTTTTTAATTGTATTACAATTTCTAGAATTTTTATTATTTGTTATCAAATATTTGCTGCTGAGATTGCAATTTTTAAAAATTGACCTTTTTTAATACCTGTATCTAAATAATTTATAAAGTTAAAATTAAATAATTTAAAATTTAAATAATAAAATTTATTTACCTTTATAAAGTGAATGAAGAAAATATGCTAAAAGATATTCATCATATTTATATTCATTAAATCTTGAATTAAATTTGTTAATAACATATTTATAAAATTATTTAGGATCTTTAGAATCTTCTTTAGAAAGCTTATAAATTGAATTTCATAAAGAAATTAATACAAAATAGCAATCAGCTAATGTTATATTTCTTTTTTAAAATTTAATAATAGCATCATTAATAGGTTTAAAAATTTTTGCTAAATCATAAACATCATAAAAAAATCCTTTTTTTCTACAAATAATTGTTTTAACAGATTCATTTGTTATAGCTAAAGAATTTTCAATAGCAATCTAAATAAAAAATTATTTAAGTTATTAATTTTAAATATAAATTAAAAACTTTAAATAATTTGATTACCTCTTTTAAACATATTTCTAATTGATAAACTAATTTTAACATTGCATAAACTGTTGTCCATCTTGTATAAATATAAGTTTTTAATCTACCACCTGATATTTTTTTTTCAGAAATCTTAACTGCTAAAAGATTATTTGGTAAATAACTTTTTTTAAAATATGTAACTAAAGTTTTACATCATTGGATAATTCTTGCTGCAAATGGATGTTTAATTAATCTTTTGTTATAAGATTAAATGCATGTACAATACATCTAATACTTAATATATGTGTATATTTTTGAGAAATTTGTTTTCTTGCTAAATTAATATTTGATTCTGAATCTGTTACTATACCAATAAACTTTTCAACACCAATATTAATTAGAACTTTTTGAATTTTATTAGTTAAAAAATTTGCAGTATGATTTGTATCTGAAAAATCTAAAATTTTGCAAAGAAGTTCTTTATCATTATTTAGACAAATAATAAAATTTCACAATAATTTGCTTGTTATACTGGTCCATCCATCTAAAGCTAAAAATAAATTAACAAAAATATTTTATTTTAAGTAGTAGCTTATTTTAAATATATAGTATAATTAAATTATAAATTAAATAAAAAAATAAATATAATTAAATATCTAATGTTAAATTTTTTGAATCTTTTAATGATTTATATAAATTTGTATCAATTCTAATTATTTTATTTATTAATAAATTTTCTGCAATAAATTTTCTACTAGGTGGTATATAAGTAGGATAAAGTTGTTTTAAAAATTCAATAAAAAATAGATATTCAATAAGTCTCCAAGGTAATCCACAGCATACAAATACTTTAATAAGTGTTCTATTTATTGATTCAATACATTTATCTGGTATAGTTGTACTTTCAAGAAATTCATCTAAACTTAATTGTTCACTTGAATGTTTAGTTCTACTAATATTTGAAGTTTTTTTACAAGATTCAACAATATATATAACTGTTTTTTTTATTTCTTTAGAAACATAAGCACAGTCACTAATAATATGTTTTTTCATTAATGTTGGTTTTCTAGGTGAAAATAATTTTTCACATGCTTTACAAATTGCTTCATAATGGTCTGAGTTATCTAATTGTTTGCCTCTATTATAAAATTTCCAAATTGGTTTTAATAGATGACTACCAATAATTTTTTCATTAGTATGTTTAATTTTTTTAGATTCTGATATATTAAAAAATGATAAAAAAATTTAAGAATAAGTTATTAAATGGAATTTTGTAATATAGCTATCAAGGTTTTAGATTTTTAAAAGACTTTATTTTTAAAATAAGTGAAAACTTTTTTACATAGTCAGAAATCAGACATTTTTATACAGGTTTTGCTTTGTTAATCTCCAACTAATTGTATCTTTTTCTGTAAGACTATCAGTATTACATTATGAATCTTTAACAAGATTATTTCTTATTATGCTGATTAATTATAATCATATCACAATAACTAGAATGATCCCATATGTTAACATGATATCAAAACTGATAATAGAGTAAATACAGTATAATTATAAACAATAAATAAATAATAAATATAGTAATTATTTTTTTTGTCTTGATATAACTATCATGCTCTCACATGGAATCATTTCTCATTATGCTAATTGATCATGATCGCATCATGGTAACAAAAGTGATCTCATATATTAACACAATATTGGAATGATAATAGAGAGAATAAGCAAACAAATAAACAAATAAATAAAGAAAAAACAAATATACAGTAGTAATGATCTTCTATCTCAGTATAACTATCTAATTACATTGATCAATTGATCGTGTATAACCATCATGCTCTTATGTGAAATTATTCCTTGTTATGCTGATTGATTGATCACATATAACTATCATGCTCTCATACGGGATTATACCTCATTACACTGATCAATCATGATCACATTATAATAACAAGGGTAATCCCATATATTAATACAATGAAATAAAGAGAATAAACAAATAAGTTATTGATGCTTTGGCAGTTTTGGGGTTTTGGTTGAAGTTTTAGGTTTTGGATAAGGTTTCAGGTTTCAGTTAAGGTTTCAGGTTTCAGGTGAGGTTTCAGGTTTCAGTTAAGGTTTTGAAAGCTATAATCTAAAATCCGAAACTTTTGGAATCACCAAAAAAAGTTTCAGTAACATCTTTGGACTAAACTATGGAATATGTATGTTGTTAAGCAAATACTTGCTAACAAAAAAGCACCTTGTACTTTTAGTTCTGACAAAGTTTGTACTGAAACAAAACATGTATGCCTTGATTTAACCTACTTTATTTATTATTAGATATGTAACAAATCTTAAAATTATATAATTTATTATCATGTTTAAAATAACAGATGTTAAATGGATAAGAAGTAGACTAATAAGTAGAGTTAAATTTGGAAAAATATACCTTGTGTTGAATCTAAATTCATTAGAAGTGATTATAGTTAAGCAAATAAAGCAACCATTAAATCCTTCAGATAAAAAGAATGAACATTATAAAGCTCAGGTATGTTTATAAATTTTTTCACAATATATGCACAATGCCATGATATAAGTTTTAAGAACTTACAAATTCATTTATTCATGTAAAGATAAACTCTTTTAAGGATAAAACGAAAATTTTAAAAGACTTAGACCATGATCATATAGTTTCACATATTGGTACAAATCTGTTTATTTATTGCTATATGTTTCTATAAGTGTAACATTAAAGCTGTTTACTTTTAATTGTCATAATAGGGTATAAAGAAAACAAAAAAAATATTAATATTTTTTTCTTGAATATGTTAATGATAGATCAATCAGTACAGTTTTAAGAAGTAATAGTCCATTTAAAGAGCCTGTAGTAAAATTATTCACATTTTTTTTTTCAGTTTATCTAAATAATAAATATCATACTTAAATAGTAAACTTATTTCATGTCTCTCTTTTTTACAGGATATTAGAGCAGCTAATATCCTTGTTGATGAAGAAAGTTGTTGTAAAATCTCTAATTTTGGAATATCAGAGAGAAATAGTATGTATGTAGTAAGAACAGAATTCATGTGGGTTTGAAATTTTTTAATATAATTAGAATTTTAATGTAAACTCTGATTTTAAATTTTTGAAATTCCAAATCCACTTAAATTCCATTCTCATATATTTTAAATTGATTTGAAATAATTTAACAAATTTAAATTAATCTTTATTTACTATTAGATTCTGCAGGATTGTCATTGGACTTATTCTGATCTCTCATGAGTTACTGGACTGAACTGGACTAGATTTTGCATAATTCCAGTCCAGTTGCTTTGTCTAGTCCAAATAGCACAGTTTATTGTCATTGAACAAAGTCCAGTTAATTGATTGGAATAAGTCCAATCCAGTCCAGTCCAGTCCAATAGACCTTATTGGTCTATTTTTAATAAGTTTACACATTGGTCATGCTTATTTAAACATATATAAAGATCTTTTATGATAGCAATAAGTCTAATTTTTAATATATATAAAAAATCTTAAGATAACTTAGAATCTTAATTTTATAATCAGATAATTCAAAAATTAATATCTTTAAATATTATTTGAAGGTTTAGGGTTAAGTAGACTATATTTATAATAAACTTAATATTTTTAATTATTGCTATTGTCTGATAATTTTTTTTATAATGTTTGGTTTTTTATAAGTATCTTTTTATAATTAAAAACAAATAAATATTAATAAAATAAAATAAAAATAAACTAAAATAAAATAAAAATAAAAAATAAAAAAAATTTTATAATACTAAATCTTTCTTATAATTTAGATTCAAAAATTATCAAATAACAACAAAATAAAAATTTATAATTTATTAATATATAAAGGTGGATCTAATTTGTTAACAAATAGCTTACCAAGAATCTATTTTGTATGTTTATCTTTTTGAGGATGTTCATGGTCTAAAAGAATATTAGATAATAATTCAGCATTAAATAATAAATTAGTTATCTCTTTATTTCAATCATATAATTTTTCATTCTCAAGCATAAATTCTTATAAACTTAATACTTTTTCTAAATTATTTTTAGTTAGATTTGCAGAATGTTGAAATTTATTTTTATTATTAGTTTTATGTTTTTGTTTAATAATATTTGTTGGTTCTTCTGGTTCTTGAGTTGTATCTTCATTAGCTTTATATAACATAGTAGTTGTATTTGAATAATATAATTGTTTAATTTGTTCAAGTTCATTATTTTGGTATGCTTGATTTATTGCACCTTTTATTTGAGCCATTACTAATACTTTAGTATATTAAAATTAAATTAAACTAAATTTTTATTTTTATTTATTTATATATAAATTTTAAAGATTATTTCTTATTTTTATCAGTTTCTTGAAGCAGAATATAAATAACCCATCAAAGACTATAACCTTTTGACTGATGCAGCATTTATACAAATACTCATTATTTGACTTGCTACAAATTCTAATTCTTTTATATTTTTTTTTTTTTTTTTTAAATATTAACGATGAGGCCATGCCTTTAACTTTATTGAAATTCAATTAAAGTTTTTACAAAGAAAAGCTTGCTTTTAAATTACATAT